AATTGTCTATTAGCAAGAACCATTGTGCACTGTTCTGCAGTGACAGGCTTGCAATGTATCTAGTTTATAGCACACACTCACTTTTCATAGAGCATAGTTGTGATTTATTACCTTTTACTCAGTTTTTATTCACTATATTTAGCATAGCTGCTGCAGCATATGCTATGTCAATTTAACCGTCTGTGGTTTGTCTCTAGTCAGTCCACCCTGCACGTTCAAACCTCGTCTGAAATTGGCCAGATTGGATTTTGTGGTCTTTTGTTTATTTCAGTTTAGGGGGTATGATTAAATGATCTGATATAGTGACCAAAGTGGGGTTGAAAAAGTGTTCAAATGGGAAAACCACAAAGTAAATGACACCTTGCGACTAAAAAGGGTATTGGGTCATTCTCTTTATCGAGAATTCCCATGTACTTCATGTCAACTCACCAGGCCTTAGATTAGAGTGTGCATCAGATTCCTTGTGGAAGATGCATTTTCCAACCAGAGAAGTATTTTCCTGCTGGTGATATTTGTGCTGCACTTTCACATTTAAGCACATTTTCCATCCCAATTTGCACACAGCGGTGTTCTGCAAAGATCCATGAAGCGAATGATCAATTTATCTGGAGGATTGTTGGCCAGGACACGGCAGAATCTCTTATGGAACTTGAGAGTTTCTGCTGAGTTCTGTACAAATCCTTGTGCTCCATATTCACCAATTCCAACGCTCTTTATTCAGCATAGCTGTAAAGGCCTGTGTATCTGTACCACCCACTGCAAGGTCAGTACTATGAGACTGTCTTTCCTGAAGAAGAGCTGAAGCCTTTTATTTGTATGTAAACAAGGTGTGTTCACTTTACAGTAAATCCTGTAATATTCTCCCGACATGAAAGGCTCTATATTAGATGCAAGGATTATTATTATTTGAAATTAATATTTTAATGCAAAATCATTTTTGTTTGCTCACATTTTTGTCTTACTCAAGACATTTATATAACTTTTGCAGAGCATAATCTTAGTAATGTTTTGTCATTTTGCCAAGATTACATTGTGACTATCATTGAATTGGATTTTATCCACGTCACAATATTCGGATCCTCTCTAGCTCAATAGCCCAGTGCAACTTGACTATGCTCTGAGCCATTACGAGTTGTTATCTTATGTCCATGAGGCTTTCTTAGCTTTCAAAGCAAAGTATGTCTGTGCTTTGGATTTATTGAAAAAAAGCCCTTGGGAGTTGTCTACGCACTGTTACTGACAATCGGCCAGATATCAGAGTTTCTACAGGAATGCAGGTGAAATGCAGCTGGTATCGATCTCAGCCAAAGTTGGAATGTGTCCTTTTAGAGATATTATTGTGCTGCAAAATCTTGATACTACCCACGCCAGTAAGCGTGAACAAGAGTAAGTGCATTAAGAAATTGCCGGAGGGATTTTTGTTTAAATAAGCAGTTTGATTAAGCAATAATTGTTAAAAATATGGGCTGAGATTGCATTCTTTCTAGATGTAAATATGTGACTGTAGATAGTAGACGGAGAGATGAAGGTTGGTGTCTGAGCTGAGTCACTTAGCATACACCAGATTGGATATTTTAAGCTGGTTGATCCTGATGCTTTTTCCTGTCTCAGATATAGATTTAGGAAAACAATAATATTTAACACTCCCAGTGGAAGATGCTCTAGGTACAGTCTATAGCTATGTCTGTCTTTCACACTCACTTAGGCTGAGGGTCAGAGAAATAATGAACATAATTTCTCCAGCTCCACTAGCCTTCTGATGTGACCTGATGATTGTGCCAGTTCATCCTGTTTTTTTGCACTTTTTATGTTTTAAACCTCGGCCACCAATGCTTAGAGTTTGCTCTTTTCCAGGCTATCAATTTCCTGACAGATGTTTACATTTGGAATTGTTTGGAATAGTTGGTTGGTCTGATCTGCAACTGGTTAATGAGCTGTATCAGTAGGATGTTCCCCTGCAAGAAGAGACCCTGTAATGGGGTGGCTGATCCTGATGTGCAGGATTCCCTGCTGGAGATGCTGTTGACATCACAAGGCCACTTTATTCAGTGGCTAGGTGCCAGTAATGTTTCCTGAAGAGCAATTTTACAACCTTATTAAGAGAGACATGACACTCGTAACCAAACTCTCAAATGTTTAGGTCACAGCCGCTCCCAAGTTATACAATGTTGTTTGAAAAGTTAGAATATTTTACATGTTGGATACTCTATCCTATGGGTGCCTATAATATACATCTGGGCCTTTATCGTCCAAAAACAATACGTAACTTATCATAACACCAGTTTAAATTTCTATTTGTGTAGATCACTGAACTGCAGACATTTTGTCCCAATTTGTGGAGTAACTGAAATGGAGAGGGTTTCACAGCTATGGTCGATGAACAGTGGGGTCACATGCCAGTGCTGGCAACACTTATTTTATGGTTCTTGAATTGTTTAGATTGACAAAAGCATCACTGAGTTGGAAATTGAAACTAGCGCCACGCTGTTATGAAAACAGAGTTGTGGAAGTAGTTTAAGTTTACAGTGGTGTATAATCCCTTGCAGAAGCAAGCAATGACATTTGTTGTTAATACTATGGACTCTGTTAAGAGTACTGCATTGTACTTATTGGGCAACCTCTAAATTAAGCCAATAAAAGCTTTGTGCTGTATCGCTGTCAACATTTTAGTCTAAATTTCATTTTTAAATAAAGCTTTTTCTCTGTTCTTTGTGTGTAAGCCTGGCTCAGTTGGTAGCAATCTCACGTCTGAGAGAGAAGGTTTTTTATTTAAGACCCACATCTAGTTAAAACCGAAATCTACCTGAGCAGGCAGTCGGGACTTTATTTTAACATTTCATCCGAAGGATGTCACCTGCAGCAATGCGGTACAACTCCAGCACTGCATTGGAGTGACAGCCTAGACTGTGAGTTTAAAGTTCCATAGTGGTTGTGTTGGTCTGCCAGGTGTCCCAATGCAAATTCTGGGTTCCCAACCCAGGCTCTTGCCAGCTCCCTCCTCATACTCTCCAGAATTAGGTCAGGATCAGTCTCTACAGAGGGAGAGAGTGCACATTTAATTTCAATATATGAGAGTTTTCATGTGTAGGTGGGATGTATGGAACTGTTTGGATACTCTTAAGCATGTGATGAGTTTCTACATGTATCAGACACCTGGCAGACCAACACAACCACTATGGAACTTTAAACTCACAGTCTAGGCTGTCACTCCAATGCAGTGCTGGAGTTGTACTGCATTGTTGCAGGTAACATCCTTCGGATGAAATATTAAAACAAAGTCTCGACTGCCTGCTCAGGTAGATATTAAACATCCCTTGGGACTATTCAAAAAGAATTGGGAGTTTCTTCCGGTGTCCTGACCAACAATCCCCCAATTAAAATTGATCACTCACTTCATGCCTGTCTGTGGGGTAATGCTGCTTGCAAATAGGCTGCTGTGTTCACCTAAAAACACACAGTCACTACACTTTCCCACAAAACACTGTAAATTTGAAGGATATTTAACATAAGTGGTAAAATTATCAACCCCCAGATGTTGTGATGAGCATCAAATCTTCATGAAATTGTGTATTATTAATCTGAAGATTGACACGTCAATGCAATTTTATTTTTGCTGCTCCCTGCAGGTGCTGTGTGTTGTGAGAGTTTGGGGTCATTGGGAGCCTGTCCATGGGAAAGCTGTGTTTGAAAGAAAGTAATATTTAGTACGGGATAGGAAGGTCACACCATGTTAAAGTCTCCCTGGAGACCTCTCATAAATATCATCATTGCAACAGCGCAGTTCTTAAATGTCACAGAGCCACCTGAGCATGGGCCTCAAAGACACTAAAGGTTAGGTGGGAATGAATAGTTACAGTGGACAGGTCAACTTGTTCAATGTGCTGTTATTTCACTCAAAAACTAGGTAACCAGCACAGCGCTAAGAGGTGACACCTTTTGCACATGAAGGAGAGGCTTGCTGCTCATAATATTTGCCACACACTGAGGAGAAAATCCTCTGATGATAGCAGTAAACTACCAGAGTGGGGAAGAGCAGTCATATTATCTAACCATTCACCTCTGAGAGTACCTGCACAGAGCCACTGTCTACACAAACCTAACCCCCTCTTTCCTCTTTCCCTCAATATCGTTGGTCTTCAGTTCTCAATGAAAGCTGCAATTCTGTTTGATTTTTAGACACACTAAAAATTCAAAGCACAAATCAGTGTCCTGGCAATGGTAGCAGTGATCCTCAGTGTGGGTTTCAAAATCTCTGGGAGAATCTGTGGTTCCGTATTATAATTTCAATCTCTGTTCTTGGTTGGTGACAATTCATCAAAACTTTTTCAGTAAATATTAAAAATAATAATCCTTGCATTTCTTATAGCATCTTTCACATTGGGAAATGTGATATCCTGTAAAGTGGAGTGACTGTATAATTTGTAGGTGAACATGGCAGTCTATTTGTGCATGGCAATGCAATCCTCAATTGGCATTTTATTTAATTGCAAATAAAAAAAGGCTGCGAAAAGGAAAGCCATTCCAGGAAAAAAATGTGGCCTTCGATTTTTTTTTCCTCTGTCGTATATTACCACGTTGAGATTTACTGTATTTTGTGGGCAAAACGCAGCAGTGAATTGTGCACAGCAGTGTCCCACAAACAGTCATGAACTGAGTGATCAATTTTGTTTTTTTGGAGGAATTATTACCCCCAGAAAGTGATCTGCCAATCGACTAACAACCGGGTTCCTACTCACTGCTAGGCAAACAGGCGTGTGGGAATAAGGAAATTTGCCTACGGTTTTGCTCTGCTCGGGATTCGAACCCGAGTCCTCTCGCTTGCGAAGTGAGCTTGCTAACCACTACGCTATGGGACTCCACAAACTATTGTTGTTGTATGAACTGTTGTTGTCAGGAGCTGATGACTCAGATGCGATATCATGACAAATGAATTCTCTTTGATGTAGCATTCTTTGTGAGCACTGACATTTTTTTCTTCCCTTTTGTGCTTTAATTTACAGGATAAACATCTGCTGAAGAAGACTGCCATCAAGTTTCATAAAGCGATATGAAGTTTGATTCCTCTCTTATTCAGTCCAATGGGAAAAGGAGTTAATCGTTGTTGAGCCCGATTGCTGCATCCTGCTAAAAGAACCCGAGATTACCTGGAATACCTTTCACTTCCATCTTGCCATAGCAAGGGTTGATCTGGCTCTCTGAATTTTCAATCTCTAAAACTGCTGTAGGTTAAGGATGCTTTTTGTTTCATGTCGAGGGACTAATACCTGAGATTGGGGATTGGTATCGACTCTTTTTCAGATGCTTAAACTATTAATTTATCCCACTCGGTACGCCCTTTAACAATCTTTACATTTGGTATAGCGCCTTTCACGGTGCTTCATACATATTGTAATAAACTGTAGTCATCATGTGTTTTGTGGGAGAACGTTTTGTATTAGTCCATAGATTACTTGAAACGTGTAAACGTGAAAGAGCAATTGAAGTGAGGAGCAACAACAAATTACACTTATGTACCGTCTTTCACGTTGGAAGGATATCCCAAGGGACTGGACAGTTAATGATTTGCACCCGAGCTAATGCTTGGAATCAAGAGGTTTGGAGGGTAAGGGGTAGGGGGTGGGAGTAGAGAGGTAGGGGGTGGGAGTAGAGGGGTTGGGGTGGGGGTAGAGGGGATGGGGATGGGAGTAGCGGGCATGGGGGTGGGAGTAGTGGGGTGGGATTAGGGAGGATGGAGGTAGGAATACGGGTATAAGGTGGATGTAGGGGGGACTGGAGTGGGAAGAGTCAGAACTTTTTTCATTTTGTTCATTTTGTGGCTGTGGCTTTTATATGTTTAAACATATGTATATATGTATGAAGAGTAGTAGCTCTTTTGCTGTGGTTAGAGGCCGGAGTAATGATCCTGCATGCTTGTTGCTTATGCTAGATTTACGGATGCATTAGCATGTAGATTACATCCATTCACGGTATAGTATTTTGAAATATGTTATGAATAGGATTGTTCTGGCTCTGCTGCTTTGATATAAGGCTTTTTTTATTTGGAAGTATTTGAATTCTCCATTCCCTGTATACGTTACATTTTGAAAGATTTGTATTAAAACCAGATTTACAGTAAAATGTTGTTAACAGAGTTTTATTCTGTTTGCACTTTACTCCACATGTTTTCTTCCCAGTTCTCGAATAAAACACTGTGCTATGACAGCGAACAGAGGTCAAACATCTGAAGCATCTCTTGAAACAATATGCTGATCTATGCATATATTTGTTTATTTTGTTTTGGGTCGGTGGGGTGTCTAACTTATGCAGAAACCTATCACCAAACTTAAGAGTATCCAAACCGGAATGAAAGTTCCACATACATATTACACCTGCACGTGAAAAATTCCCTGTGTCTAGAATAGAATACACACTCTCTCCCCGCTTACCTAATTCCAGAGACTATTAAGTGCTCCTGGTTAGTGCTAAATTGTTGGAGATGCCGTCCTTGTAGGAGATATTAAACCAAGGTCCCTTCTTTAAAGAGCCCATACTACTATTTGAAAAAAAAGGGAATGCTCTTGGTGTCCTGGTCAACAATTCTCCTCCTGACTGATTGTGGGACATTGATATGTGCAAATTGGTTGCATACAAATACACAGTTACTACAACTAACAATAACTGCTGTGAAACACTTTTAGAGACAATAAGGGAGGCACTGCTGTATATCAAATGCAATTTTTTATGAATTAAAATGTTGCTTTCTGTTCTCAGAAAATGGAATGTGAGACTTTTATACATGACGAGGGTTTTCTGAGTGTCAAGACGCTGGGCTAATGTACAGAAAGCCCAGCTAGTATGTGACACTAAATATGGTGAACTAGAACTGCAGAGAATTTGGATCAGTGAACAAAGTCATTACAGCGTATCAGCATCATGTCTCACTCTCCCCGAGGGGATAATAAGAACATGTTAAGCTAAGAGGACACCAACAGACTGCTCTATAGCAAGTTCATGAATATAACCAGAAAGCTGTTCTTGTATGAGCAGTGTTGAGGCACGCAGTTTATTCTGATCAACAGTCAGAATCCCAAAGCTATTTTTCTTTTAGTCCTGGTTCAGTGTATTCCCTCTGCTGTACATTTTGATCATTTTAATGGATTCGCTTTCTATACTCAGTGTTTTTCAGTCATGTTGTAAATGAAAGAACTGAAAGATCACATTTTCCAAGTGCAGGCTGCAGTGTTATTGCCACACTGCACAGGAATGCCACTGTCTGTCGTCCTGTAAGAACCCATCATGACCCCAGATAGACCATGAACTTCCAAGTTATGTCATCTGAAAGGAACTCAGTGGGGAACAAAACCCCAGGTCTGATACTCCCAAAGTTTCAGTTCCTTCCTGCGACATTTAGAATGTAACTTGAACAGACTTCAAATAAGTGATGGTGACCGAGGGGGTTATTTTTTCACCTGTTCCAGCATATTCATTCAAAATAAACCAGCTCATCAATCATCTGATTTCACGGTTCAGAACTGCGGATTGTTCTAATCCAGTTTATTTGCTCGACCTTAGCAAAAGGACTAAGCAAGCAGTATTTCATTCCATCACTGAAACAACAGAAATCGGACTGTTAGCATAATAGGGGGAATAATAATGAGCCAGCAATCTGTACTTGGGTGTTCAAGATCTAGAGATAATAATAATAATCCTTGCATTTGATACAGCGCCTTATCACGTAGTCGAGACGCCTCAAAGCGCTTCACAGGATACACACACTGTAAAGTGTAGTGACTGTGTAATTTATGGGAGATGGCCCTTTTGTGAATTGCTGAGATATTAAATAGAAGTCTCATCTGCCTGTTCTCTTGCTTTCGATAGATGTTAGTAGATCTCAGGACAACAACAACAATAACTTGCATTTATATAGCGTCCTCCACGCCGGGCGGCTTCTCAGAGCGCTTAACAATGGCGGAGCCCGAGGCCGAGCCAGGGGGAGGGGGAAGGTGACTGTAGGAGCGGTTGAAGAGGCACGACCTGAAGATGGGGAAGGAGGGTGTGAGGCAAAGGGGTTGAGGGAAGGAGTTCTAAAGCTTCAGGGCCTAGTGGCTGAAGGCACGGCAGCCGATGGTGGAGCGGAGGATTTGGGAGACATGGAGGAGGCCGGACCCAGTGGAGCAGAGGCAGTGGGTACTGCTGTGGGGAGAGAGGAGGTTAGAGATAGGGGGGTGCCAAGGAATGGAGGGATTTAAACACTAAAGTGAGGATCTTGAAGCGATCGGCTCTGTGACAGGGAGACAGTAGAGTTTGGCAAGGACTGGAGTAATCGGGATATGCAGTTTGGTGCGGGTGAGAATGTGGGCGGAGGAGTTTTGAATGAGCTGAATTTTGTGAATAGTGGAGGAGGGGAGACCTGCGAGGAGGGCGTTAGAGTAGTCCAGCCGAGAGGTGACAAAAGCATGGACAAGGGTTTCCGCAACTTTTCATGTGAGGTATTGTTGGAGATGGGCAATGTGGCGGAGATGGAAGAAAGTGGTCAGGGACCAGATGTGGGGGAGGAAGGATAACTGGGGATTGAACCTGATGCTTAAGTTGCGCATGAGTTCAGAGAGTTTTAAGTACTATTTTGAAGAAGCATAAGGAATTTCTCCTGGTATCCCGGCCAACACGCCCCCAAATAAAATTGATCATTCACTTCATGGCTACTTGTGGGACATTTCTGTTCGAAATTGGCTGCTGTGTTTGCTCACAAAATACACAGACACACATTTTACAGTGTATCCTGTGAAACTCTTTGAGATGTCTCAATGTGATAAGGTGCAGTATCAAATGCAAGAGTTATTGTTATTATTTCATGAAATGCAAGTATTAATATTGTTACAATACAATAAACATTTATATAGCGCCTTTCACTTCGGGTCCATTTTGTTACCTACCTGGTTATCATAAGACTGTGTCAAAACATGTGAAATTGAGTCTATAAACACACTGTCTTTTCACAAGGTTTCGTAGTGTTATAAAATTCTAATTTCATGCTATTGCTGTATATCCCTGCACTTTCATGAACTTCATATTGAGAGATAAAGATGCTGAAAGGCTTACAGACTGAGTTTGTGGTATTCTTGAATGCTGCCCTTGCACAACAGATCATAGATTCATAGAATCATAGAATTACACAGCACAGAAGGAGGCCATTCGGCCCATCATGTCTATGCTGGCTCTTTGAAAAGAGCTATCCAATTCAATCCCACTCTCCCGCTCTATCCCCATAGTCCTGCAAACTTGTCCTCCCCAAATAATTATCTACTTCTCTCTTAAAAGTTGTTATTGAATCATCTTCCACCACTCTTTCTGGCAATGCTTTCCAGATCCGAACAACTCACTGTGTGAAAACATTTCTCCTCACCTCCCCTCTGTTTCTTTTAACAAATATTTCAAATCAGGGTCCTTGGGTTACCGACCCACCCGCTTGCCAGTGGAACTCAGACAATTAAAGAGCAATATGCATTAATGCTCCTTACTTACCTTAACAGAAATAATCATTTGAGCCAGAGAAATATATCATTTTGTGGAGTCCTGTAGTGTATTGTTTAGAGCCCTCGCCTCGCGAGCGAGAGGACCTGGGTTTGATTCTTGGTCAGGGTGAAATGTTAGACAAGTTTCCTTACTCGCCTCCATTTACCTAATTGTAAGTTGAAACCCGGTTGTTAATCGATTGGCGGATCACTTATGCAGGGGTAATAATCCCTTCAAAAACAAGTAATAATAAAAATTTGGTCACTCAATCCACGTGTTTGAGGGCAGCATTCAAAAACAGGCTTAGTCTGGCAAACCTGTCTTCATCTTTATCTCTGAACGTGAAGTTCATGAAAGTGCGCAATTGGCTGCCGCGTTTCACACACAAAATATACAATCAATTCACTTTACAGTATATTCTATGAAGCGCTTTGAGATGTCTCGAAGATGTAAAAATACACCGTATTAAATGCAATGATTATTATTGCTATCATTTTTAATATCATAGCACAACAGCAAGTTGGTGCATTGTAGCATCGATGATGCTACAGCACTGCTGAGCCATGGGTTTCCTGATCTCAGCTGTGCTGCTATTTTTGGATGTGTGTGAGTATAAAGCAGATACTAAACATATGTATGCAAGGGAAGGTATAGAGGGAAACATCAATTTTGAAATTCCACCTAGATTCAGCTCAGAATTCAAGATTTTGCAGAATTTTGCAAAATTCTTAAATTTAGCCATAATTTGGAAGCCGGTTTCCTGCAGTTCTTTAAACAAGACTTCCAAATTAAGATTGAATTTCAGAATTGTTCCAAGACTTTTCCCAGTCTTAAGTATTACAAACCAGAAATTACACATAATCGTAGCCTAAAAAACATTTTGTCTTAAATTTTAAGGTTGCACAGAATTTGTGGAAAATTCTTCAATTCAGTCCCGATTTGAAAGTCAGATTTGCAAGAGAAGCATTTTACAGATTAAGACTGAATTGATCTAATATTTTAGATGAAAAAAACTCTGTAGGTGTTCCATGCAAATTTTGGAGCA